CATTCACACTGCCATTCACACTGCCATTCACACTGCCATTCACACTGCCATTCACACTGCCATTCACACTGCCATTCACACTACCATTCACTGGCGTGGTTCCTTCGTTTTGTTGGTCAGAACAGTGGTCACCGCCGTACATTTTCACACGCTGTTGAAGTGTTTTTAATTAAATTGATTTTTGTTTTCACCTTATCCAGCAGGTGGCGGCACGTCATCCTACCTGTAACTTCATGCAGGAGGTGGAGAGAGAGAGGGTGGAGTGTGTGAGGAGGCTTAGAGAGGCGGAGGAGGACGAAGAGGAAGGAGAGACCAGCAGCAGCCCAGGTCAGGGTCCACGTTTGTCTTGAAGAGAGACAAATGTCAAATTAACCACAAATTAATGTCAACAATGACAAGACAGAGGACAGTTAGCAGATCATGGACACTTAGATATTTGCCTAGGGCACCATCTGCTGGCAGGGACAAAAAAAAGCTATCTGTTATAAGCAAATAAATAAATGTAAAGAACAACAATAATAATAAGTTTGTTTTTTGGAAAGTCCAAAAACCATTCACAGAGTGATGGATTAATTCATTAACTGATTAATTAATCACACCCTAAACTGACCAGGTGTGAATGGCATCTCGGAAACGCCCAATCATATTTCAGCAATCTCCCAGAACCAGCTGTTGATCACAGTTTCTCCTCCGAGCGTATCAAACGCTGTTGAGGCTGCTTAAATACTTTGGCTAAAGTCTCAAAGTTTGTTTTTACATTTGTTGTAAAGACCAGTTCAGCCTGAGCTAATATCCAGGTGATGTCATCATTTAGCCTTTAGCTTTTAGCTGTTCTGTGCTGATCATCTCTTTAACCACAGATCAACGTCCTCTCCGTTTGCTCGACAAGCTTTTTCTCATTGTTCACGGTGACAGGACTGGGCTGCAGGGGAACGTGGGACAGCATTGCATGCTGGGACGGAGCCCAGATGGGAGAGACCATCACCATCCCCTGTCCACCAGTCCTTCAGACTTTATTTGGCAGAAAAGGTGAGGTTTTTTTTTTTATCAAAATCGTGAAGGAACGCTAAAAGTTGGCCTGGAACGGTGTTTAAACAACAACAGGATAACAGCACGGGGGGAGGGGGAGGGGGGGGGGTCACAGGTGATCAGGTGGTCTCTGAAAACATCTCTGCTCCCCTCCGTGTCCTACAGGAAACATAAGCAGGAAGTGCACCTCCTAGGGATGGTCCGAGGTTTTCCCCAACATCAGCAGTGTGTGTGAGTCACACACCAGTCAGGAGAAGGTACGGCGTCAGCCCCGGTGGTGGACGTTGTCCTGAGGTCAAATGACCGTAGAGTTGTAGTCTGGTCTCCTCAGACCAGATGGTCCCACGGTCTTCTTCAGCCTGGATCATCTTCCTCCAGGTTGTCCTCAGCAGACTTCAGTCTGGTCCGGTGCAGGACTCAGTCTCAGTCTTTGGTCATATTCAGGTCCAGACTGGACCCAGTTCTTCGACTATGTAACTAGCACCACCTACAGGCTCCACACTGTCAAACCCAGATCTCCATGGTTGTTGAACTACACAGCACACACTCTTCCCCTCACGTAGGACTCCAGACCATATTCTGCTGATGAAGTCCAGTCTGACCGGGTCGTGGGTTCAGGCGTCAACAGATGAAGAAGAAGAAGAAGAAAATCTTTCAGACTTCATTCCTGAATGTTGAAAGGTTTCAAAGGTGGGGAGGAGGAGCATGAAAAAAGATGAGAGTAAATTCACCTGAAGTGACCTGAAGTTTTTACTTCTTGTTCATCCCTGGACTTTGATCCAGATGATCCAGTCATCACAGTCTCTGACTGTCTACAATGTGAAATACTGTCACTGTTGAAATGTAAGAACAGCATTTCCACATAGTCTGTATAATGTCTCTCTGCCTAAACCAAAGTCCATGGAGAAAATCAGAGATTTTAGTTCAGACCAAAGTCCATGGAGAAAATCAGAGATTTTAGTTCAGGCAGTGATCTATAAAGGTAACTTTTGTGACTGGTTCACAGTGATCCACCTCCTCTTCTCTGTGTGGCTGCAGCTCATCTTCTACATGCTGGTCCAGACCCTCTACACTCTGGGTCACAGTCTGTCGTTGATCGCCCTCATCACAGGAAGTGCCATCCTCTGTTTGTTCCGGTAAAACTGAATTCATCAGGAGGTTCTGTTGTTTTGGGTTTTTTTTTTTTCAAAGGGAACAGAATAAGAAAAAAAATTGTTTTTGTCCAGTTCCATATTTGTTTGTTTTGCTGATAGTTCTTGAACATCTGTGTGACAGGAAGCTCCACTGCACCAGGAACTACATCCACCTCAACCTCTTCTTGTCCTTCATCCTGAGAGCCGTGGCCGTCCTGGTTAAAGATCACATCCTCTTCAGCCGCACCTTACAGTGCTCCAAACAGCCGTCGCTGGTGAGTTCAGCCCATGTGTGGTATGGACTCGCCATTAGGTGTCGCTAACCACTATGTGTAGTCACCCTGACCTTCTCAACTCAGGAGAGTCACATGACGAGGTTCAAAGTGTTTTGGCTTTGTTTGGATGAATGAGCTGAACCACATCTGCGTTTGTTCCAGGTGGGCTGTAAGGCCAGCCTGGTGTTCCTCCAGTACTTCATCATGGCTAACTTCTTCTGGCTCCTGGTGGAGGCGCTGTACCTCCACACTCTGCTCATTGCCATCTTCTCTGAGAACAAACACTTCGTCTTCTACACTTTCATTGGCTGGGGTTAGCATTAAACCTTGTATACCTGTGTTTCCTTTAGCAATGGATGTGTAGCAGTTAGCATAGCTATGAGTTCACCCAACAACTAACCTCTACTCTACCTACCTACCCTTCATACAACCGCTCTACAAATATTTATCAACATGTCTACCTACCAACAGCATCATCTCAATGTTAAAGCGCTGCTGTGGGCACCAGACACCAGAGCTAACGTTAGCTACGACAGGCCTGGTACACACACCAAGGCTAACGTTAGCTACGACAGTCCTGGTACAGACCCCAGAGCTAACGTAGGCTACGACAGTCCTGGTACAGAGACCAGAGCTAACGTTAGCTTCGACAGTCCTGGTACAGACCCCAGAGCTAACGTAGGCTACGACAGTCCTGGTACAGAGACCACAGCGAACGTTCGGTACAACAGTCCTGGTACAGAGACCACAGCTAACGTTAGCTACGACAGGCCTGGTACACACACCAAGGCTAACGTTAGCTACGAAAGTCCTGGTCAGCTCCCCCCTCCTCTTCTCCTGACTTCTTTGATGCTCTGATTCTCCTGACAGGAATCCCCGTGGTGTTTGTGTCGGCCTGGGTGATAACCAGGGTCTACCTGGAGGACACTGGGTGAGTCGCAGCGTCAGCCAATCACAGAAAACCTCCTTTAAAGCCTGGATTTAGTGGGTTCAAAGTCTCATACAATGAAGTTCTCATTAGAATATTCCGAGGGTTACTGATGATGTCACATTATTTCCACCAATGACATGTCTGTAAGGAAGGAAGCAGCAGAAGGATGTTTGTTTTAAGGAGGGTGTTAACTCCACCATCCACCCTAACAACTCACCCAACCCCCTCCTACCTGCCCACCCACCCTAATATACATATATATGTACATACATATATACCTGTCAATCAAACTGCAGAGACCTGTCCACTGATCTGAGGACAGACCTTCACTACTACCTTAAAACCTTCTCTTCTTGAGGATCAACAATCAATCAATGTTGATCAACTTTATCTGGGGGAGGGGGGGGCTTTTATCCTGTCTCCTCAGATGCTGGGAAAGAAATGACAACCCGACACCAAACTGGTTGATCAATGGTCCCATTGGGTTCTCCATCCTGGTAGGTTGGTGCTGCAGTAGTGAATCGTTTTACCCTCGGCTGGGCAGATAGTTGGCGCTCATGCTACATTCTTTTTTAACCCTTGGCCGTTTCCAGGATACATTTTTACGCCTAAACGTTTTGACCATGTTCTCGAGCTAACCAATAATATGGTGATAATGTCTCTGCCAATGACGGCTCTGCTCAGCTATTGACCTATGACCTTTTCTCATCATCAGCGGTCAGTTCAAAAACACCTCCTCCTCTTTCCTCTCCTTCAGGTGAACTTTATCTTCTTCATCAGAATCATTTGCATCCTGGTCCAAAAGCTGAGGTGTCCAGAAGTGGGCGGCAACGACCAATCACAGTACAGGTATCTGACAGGATGTGGTCTAAACCAGAGGTCACAGGCCTTTTGTGCCATGGACTGGTTTCAGGTCAGACTGGTCTGAACCACGAGTCACATGACTAACGTATAAAAATGAGCAACGATACAGGAAAAAAAAAAAAAAGGATTGGTACGAAACCTGAGCTCTGGTTCTTCTTCCTGCTCCTCCAGCAGGAGACTGGCCAAGTCCACCCTCCTGCTCATCCCTCTCTTTGGGATCCACTACGTGGTCTTCGTCTGTCTCAGTGAGTCCATGGCAGAAGACTATAAGATATTCTTTGACCTGGCTCTGGGGTCTTTCCAGGTCGGTCCTCTTCTTCTTTCTTCTTTCAAACCCGCGGCAGGTTTTTGTCCCTGTCTGATCTGTGGTCCATTTTCCTCTCCAGGGTCTGGTGGTGGCCGTTCTCTACTGTTTCCTCAACAGTGAGGTAGGATTTTCCGAAACCTTAGAACACACGTGTCAAACTCGAGGCTTGAGGGCCAAATGCAGGCCTCTAAGTTATGTTGCGTGGCCCGCGGAAGTTTAAAAAAAAATTTATTGTTACATGTGTACAGTCTTACAGTTACAGTTAGCTGATGTGGCCCCCTGGTGAAAATGAGTTTGACATCCCTGCCATAGACAGTCCAGCAGGGGGCTCTGCACTGAGAGACTCACAGCCACATTAATTCTACACCACTGTAAGGCTTGAAGGAGTTTAAAGGGAAGCTTTCTTCAGATGATTCTGATATTGAAGTTTGTTTAGCTTTTCTTCCCTGGCCTGTAGGTGGTGCAAGTGCACATTTAAAGCCTTTGTTAGAACTGTACAGGTTTCACATCAGCATGTACTGCAGTAAAATCTCACCGCAGTAACTGTTTACCACATGAGAGTACCTCTATAATACCAAAGCTAGGCTAAGCTAACCCTGCTAACGTCTTCAGCATTTCTCCTCTGGTCTTTACCAGCAGCTCTGAATCTAGTGATGTTCATTACTGCCACCTACAGATTAAACATGAGATTACCAGTCTCTGTACTCGGAATGAAAGTACATTTGCATTGAAAACCTACTGGACAGGAGTGTCATCATGTGATCAGTTCAGCTGAGTCAGGCTCTGCGTCACATGACCATTTGGAGATTGTTTCGTTGTTCCTAGCTAACTGGCTAATAGACGTAGACAAAGCGGAACAGGAACAGTTCTTTGTGTGTGTGTGTGAGAGAACACCGTACCTTGTGTGAAGGAAGTGATGACGTTCTTGCTCAGGTGCGGTGTGAGCTGAAGAGGAAGTGGCGAAGTCTGTGGCTGAGTTGTCGTCCGAGCAGAACTCCACGGCTCAACAGCGCCCTCGCCTCCAGGAACGGAATAGAACACATGGTGCAGTTTCATTGCAACTCAAGAACTCAGTCCATCCTGCAGTCTGAGACCAGCATGCTGTGACCCTGCCCCCTGGTGTCAGGTTTAAGAGAAGGACACTTGGTCATGTTAGCAGTAGCATTTGTAGCATTTAATTTTCTCTGCCTCGACCTAGTTATAAACATGAAATTGTAAAAATGTTAGAGTTTATTTCACTGTTATTGATGTTTACATTATAAATGTTAGTTCTTCCAGTTTTTCTAATGTATTTGCCATTTTAGTTTTACTGTTAAATACACTTCAGCAACTTTAAGCCAGGTCTTATTTTCGGAATCATCTTAGCGGGCTACGCTAGCCTTTAGCTTTTACAGACTGTAGACGACTTTTAGCTTTTCTTTATGAAAGAGTAGCATTTTAAAAACTACCATTCAATTGTCTTTTAGCCATGCTTGCTGTTTCAGTGACAATCATGGACGTTCAGACTCAAGCTCGGCCTCAGCGTCTTCATACAAATACAAAATA